GGTGCGCACCCGTGACCGTAAATCCCTATTGCAACTCCTCAACCCTGAACCCTAAATTTCAAATACGAAACACTACACAAGAAGAAGCCCCGATGCAGCCTAGACCCAAGCCGTGAAAAACCACATCATCGGAAACTCCATATACAAAACTTGTAGAACCCTGTAAACCCCACAAAAAATCTAAACCCCTACACCCTACACACCGACGAAACCTACACCCTAACACTTAAAACCCTACACCAAAAGCCCCAAGCCCTAAACCCCTTATAGTTACCTTTAAAGGGTCCCTTATAGATCCCTTTAAAGGAACCCTTATAGATCCCTTTAAAGGGTCCCTTATAGATCCCTTTAAAGGAACCCTTATAGATCCCTTTAAAGGGTCCCTTATAGATCCCTTTAAAGGGTCCCTTATAGATCCCTTTAAAGGAACCCTTATAGATCCCTTTAAAGGGTCCCTTATAGATCCCTTTAAAGGAACCCTTATAGATCCCTTTAAAGGGTCCCTTATAGATCCCTTTAAAGGGTCCCTTATAGATCCCTTTAAAGGAACCCTTATAGATCCCTTTAAAGGGTCCCTTATAGATCCCTTTAAAGGAACCCTTATAGATCCCTTTAAAGGGTCCCTTATAGATCCCTTTAAAGGAACCCTTATAGATCCCTTTAAAGGAACCCTTATAGATCCCTTTAAAGGGTCCCTTATAGATCCCTTTAAAGGAACCCTTATAGATCCCTTTAAAGGGTCCCTTATAGATCCCTTTAAAGGGTCCCTTATAGATCCCTTTAAAGGGATCCCTTATCCCTTAGATTATAGATCCCTTTAAAGGAACCCTTATAGATCCCTTTAAAGGGTCCCTTATAGATCCCTTTAAAGGAACCCTTATAGATCCCTTTAAAGGGTCCCTTATAGATCCCTTTAAAGGATAGATCCCTTTATTAGATCCCTTTAAAGGGTCCCTTATAGATCCCTTTAAAGGGTCCCTTATAGATCCCTTTAAAGGAACCCGTATAGATCCCTTTAAAGGAACCCTTATAGATCCCTTTAAAGGGTCCCTTATAGATCCCTTTAAAGGAACCCTTATAGTAGCCCTAAGCCTGGAAGCGAATTCAACCCTGAGGTCCGCGCAGCGCGGGGAGCGCAGAAGCAGACCCCTCAGCTCAGACGAGCCTTTGCTCTGGGATAATAGGGTCCCTTTTTGGGGTTTAGGGTTTAGGGTTTAGGGTTTAGGGTTTAGGGGTACTTAGAAATACTTTGTAATTTTTGGTTATTATAATCCTTAAGAAACAGCTAAAATTAAAGCTTTTGTAGTTTAGGGTTTAAAGTTTAGGGTTCAGTATAATGAACAGAAGTGCTCCAACACTGCCGCTGAAGTATCCAGATAGCAATGGTGTGTGGAGTGAAGCAATGTTCGACTCTGTATTTGAAGAGCGTGCACGTGAAGTATGCGGCCAAGTTGAAGGAGATATGCCCACAGAGCCCAATACCCCTTAATTAAGGAATATAGCTTAAATCATAATATGAAGCCCTATATAATTGAAGCCATTTTCCTTAATTAAAGGGTATTGGGCTCTCTGGGTATGAACGTTCGGCCGAAGGGGATCCCAGAGACTCCAATATCCCTTAATTAAGGAATATACCTTAAATTATAGTAGAATCCCTACTATAATTTAAGGTATATTCCTTAATTAAGGGGTATTGGGCTCTCTGGGTATGACCCTAACCCCTAAACCCTAAACCTTAAACCCTAAACCCCAAACCCTAAACCTTGAACCCTAAACCCTAAACCCTAAACCCTGAACCCTAAACCCTAAACCCTAAACCCTAAACCGTGAACGTTCGGCCGAAGGGGATGTTCAGAGCCAGAGCTGCATGGAAAGCAGACGGTTCTTCTGACACAAGCTGGTCTGCACTCGTTCATGGGCACGATGGGCTCCATGAGAAAAAGTAATAGTAATAGTAATAGTAATAGTAATAGTAATAGTAATAGTAATAGTAATAGTAATAGTAATAGTAATAGTACTAGTACTAGTAATAGTAATAGTAATAGTAATAGTAATAGTAATAGTAATAGTAATAGTAATAGTAATAGTAATAGTAGTAGTAATAGTAGTAGTAATAGTAGTAGTAGTAATAGTAATAGTAATAGTAATAGTAATAGTAATAGTAATAGTAATAGTAATAGTAATAGTAATAGTAATAGTAATAGTAATAGTAATAGTAATAGTAATAGTAATAGTAATAGTAATAGTAATAGTAATAGTAATAGTAATAGTAATAGTAATAGTAATAGTAATAGTAATAGTTATAGTAATAGTAATAGTAATAGTAATAGTAATAGTAATAGTAATAGTAATAGTAATAGTAATAGTAATAGTAATAGTAATAGTAATATTAATAGTAATAGTCATAGTCATACTCATAATCATAGTCATAATCATAGTCATAGTCATTGTCATAGTCATAGTCATAGTCATAGTCATAGTCATAGTAATAGTAATAGTAATAGTAATAGTAATAGTAATAGTAATATTAATAGTAATAGTCATAGTCATAGTCATAGTCATAGTCATAATCATAGTCATAGTCATAGTCATAGTCATAGTCATAGTCATAGTCATAGTAATAGTAATAGTAATAGTAATAGTCATAGTCATAGTCATAGTAATAGTAATAGTAATAGTAATACACAGGAGAGCTGCCCTTGTGACAAAATCTTGGGAGGCAATGATGGAGCTCCGCAAAGACGAGATGGAATCTCAATTTGAGGCGGACAAGCCCAGATTAGTTGCCCATACCTCGGATGAATTCGAGAATGCGAAGGGTCGGCCACTATTGTCAGGAGATACCAACTCCTACATCAGGCAACAACGGCCACCCAATGCGTGATGCCGAAGGGGCCTACCACCTCTGTGAATACCTGAGGCTCATCAGGGGGCGGAAAATTAGACGGAAGCCTACATTCCGGCGGCTAGGAAGACCCTGGCACGCGGGCTGTGACGCAGATGAGGATGCGCGAAGGAGACACGGAGTCGCTCAGGCTGGCCCGTTGTCTCCCCTCTCAAACGCGTGAAAGGTTTAGGGTTTAAAGTTTAGCGTTTAACTACGGTTTAGGGTTTTGGCAAGACTTTGGGGCCGTAGGTGTGTTTGGATTTGTTGCATATTTGCATGTATTGTCACATCGACACCCATACTCCTATTCATATTCATCCTCGTATTTATAGCTACATGCATTTTGGTATTATTTTTTTATTTTTGGTTTATCCGAAAGCCCTTCTGGATAAGGTTTCTGGTTATTTTGAGCCGTAAGGAGACTGCAGCCTTTGTCATGCCCTCCTTTCAATCAGTCTACAGTGTTCTCTGAACCCTACACCCTGAACCCTAAACCCCGAACCCTAAATCCTAAACCCCAAAACCTAAACCCTAAGCCCTGAACCCTAAACCCTGAACCGTCATTACAGCCAGACCCTAAGCTCTTAGCCCTTAGTCATCCTTGTCAAGATGCCAAAATCCCGTCTTCCAGAAAGCCCTAAGCAGCAGAACCTCCTCTGACTCTCTTATGTGGCAGCGTTGATGATGCTTCGCAGCCATGAGGCTTTCTCAGGCTTTTGAGCATGAGTAAAACATCGACATGGTAGCATTGCGGTGTTACCAAGCATGTTGATGGTGGTTGCATCGCTGTTGTCGTTGTTGTTGATGATGACGGTGACAGTGGTGGCGATGTTCTGAAGTTTAGAATCATGATGATGAAAGCGGTTGTCGTCACCACCACCGCCACCACCACCGCCACCAACACCGCCACCACCTGAACCCTCGACCCTTGGCCCCAGGCCCTGAACCCCGAAATCCTCCCACAAAACGAATAACTTCTTGCCGCTCCTGTTCAAGGCTCTTCCAGGGGCTGAAACTGTCTCGCGAGCGGCAAGGCAGCCCGGATCTCAGCATTCTTGGCTTGCCTTTTCGGGCTAAGGGTTTGGGTTTAGGGTTTTCAATTGTTTATTTGGGGTGGCCTAGGATTACGGACTTTGGTTTTTGGTTCAAGGTCGTACCCAGAGACTCCAATATCCCTTACTTAGGGAATATTCTCCTACTATAATTTAAGGTATATTCCTTAATTGAGGGATATTGGAGTCTCTGGCTAGGGTTCAGGATTCCCGAGAGCCACATACCTCGATCGAATAGGTCGTGCAGGCATTGTGCCTGCTTGGAAGGGCAGGGGACTTAGTAAGTAGGTTATAAGTAGTGTTATAATTGGGGTAACTCCATTTAGGGTACTTATAACTCTACTTATAACCTCCTTACTAAGTCCCCTGCCCTTCCAAGTGGCATGCAGGGACCCCTGACCACCCCGCGTCTCGACGCGTGAAGCATCTGTACCTTAGGGTTCCTTGTGCAATGATTTGGCGAAAGTGCAATACTTCTAACTCGTAACGCGCCCCCATGCCCACAAATTTTGCAAACAACCTTCTAAACCCATTACTAAAGCCTCATAGAAGCTCTTAAAGCAGCCCCGAGCGAGTTATGAAGTAAGGCCCCTCTGAGGTTTTCTTTGGTACGAGAGTTTGAAGCGGAATTGATGTGTTTTTGTAGAGTGCAATGGCTCTTGATATTATAACCCTAACCCCTAAACCCTAAATGTTATGTGGGTGGTTGTCAAAATTATGGTCCCTTTTTGGGTCTTTATTTTAATACGGCACCTAATATTTAGGGTACCCAAAAAGGGACCCCAATTTTGACAACTACCCATTTGTTCTAAGCCCTAAACCCTAAACCCTAAATATTTAATATCTAAACCCTAAACCTTAAATATTTGATATCTAAACCCTAAACCCTAAACCCCTAAATATCATGCGTTCTTACGGCCTGCTCCTAGCCTCTGTCTGCCTCTCTGCCTTCTCGTAGCCGTTCTCGGCGGACAGCCATGACATTCCAGGCCTTCGCGAGCGAGCGCACTCGAGAAGCAGCCTAGTTTGAAGCGCCTTTCCTTGGCCAGGTGACGCCCAAGATGCTGGCGCAGGATCAGCGCGAGGTGCGGATCAACTACGCCGTAACTACGCCCGGGCCATAGAGTAGAAAGAGGACATCTGTCACTTCCAAGTGCTGCCTGCCGCCAGGCTAACTACAAGCAGTTCAAGAAGATCCGCGAGGAGAAGGGCACAAAGAAGACCCGGCGCATGGCGGCCATCGAGGCCGCTGGGCCGCTTCGCGGTGTAGCCCGTGGTTTGGAAAGCCTTGCCTGTCAGATCATGATGAAGTTCCCCCCGGGCAGCCGCATCTACAAGCACGCCAAGAGCATGCTGCCATTGATGTAGCAGTCCAGCGTGCCATCGAACCTAACTTGCCGCAGTGATGCCCTGCTGACAGGAACTGGAAGAATCGCAGTCTGGAGGAGCTGTCCCGAACTCAGGACCAGGAATCACTTCAGGGCGCTAGCCGTCAAAGCCTGCAAGCGCACCAGGCTGGAAGATGGAAGGGACGAGCTCATGATCTTCGAGTCGGAGTCTGAGGCCGAGGGGTAGAGGAGGCAAGGCGGCGTGCCATGTGCCATTATAGTACCATAGCCGGCAACGTGCCAAAGAGCCGTTCACCCTGTACTTTAGACCAGTGCCAAAGAAGCCTGCAAAAAAAGAAGGCAGAGGACCGAGGGCCGCCGTGTCGCCGGAGTGATAGAGGGAAGGGAGGGACACTGCTAGCTTCGAGCCAAGAAAACGCTGCAGCCATCCTGCCTCGAGCCGTCGTCTCCTGCTGCTTGCGTGTCCTGCTGCTGCCTAGTTCTGCTGCCATGAATTTCTTCAACTTCTTGCAGGCTGGCTAGGGAGTAGTGCGTAGCGCAGCCAGTAAGTTTCCTCGACGGACCTCTGCAGGACAGCTTCACCGCCACAGAGCAAAGGCCTGGAAAGGTGCTCCGAGCCAGCTTCGTGCTGGAGACATCCGGTGCCTCGGCCTGCATTGGAGTGGCGGGTGGTGGGGTGGGTAGCGGAGAACCAGTTGAGCTTCCTTTGAACTCAGGCGAGCGCGAGGAGCTGAAGATGTGTCTCCACCGGACGGACAAAACCTCCGCGGTGCAGTAATTATCACATGCAGGCAGGCTCCGAGAACGTGTGAACAAGAAAAACCGTGCCTGGAAACAGCAGCTGCTCTGACAGGTCTGGCAGGCAGGAGGCCCGCCCCGATACATGGAGTCGGGGCGGTGTCCGGAGGCCGGAGGAGACGGATCACTTTAGCCTCCTTCCAAACCGCCAGCTCCCGACTCAGCAACAAGAAAAAGCGCACGGACCAGGATAGTGAGAGAGTAGGCAAGACGGAGTGCCTGGCCCAGGACTGCCGAGTGGCTGGCCGCAGAATACGACGACGATGAGGAGGTCAACCGTCGGCAGCGGGAGCTCCGGCAGCAGATGGAGGTCCTTGGAGGGCGCCCCTTGAACTTCGAGCTGGGGCTCACCAGGGACTTCCACTGGCCACACCCCCTCAAAGTAGGGCGGAGGTGGTGGCGCAGCACAGTGGTCTCGATGGAGAAGCTTCCCTCCAAGACCCTGTGGACGTAAGACGCCCTGCTAAAAAAGAAGCTCGTTAAATTTAACGGCCCGCCTTGAAGCACCGTGCTGTTGACCGCCCCGGGGTTTATCCGCGAAGAAGGGGAGGATAGGGGCGGGGATGGAGCATCGCCATCCCACACACACGTGGTTTATTCAACCTACAGCCCAGCTATCCCTGTGGTAACTTTTCTGACACCTTTAGCTGAATATTTCTCAGACCTAAAGGATCGATAGGCCATATTTTCACAGTTTGTATTCGTACTGAAAACTTGCTCCAAGGGTAAAAGGAGGGACCTTTAATAAGGACCCCTGGGTATAGAACCTTAATATAGCTATTCCATAATTACTCATTATACAGCCCATTATAGGGTAGGGGTCCCTCCTTTTCCCCTTTGAACCATAAACAATCAGCCATGAACCCCTAGACTCTAGACCTCGAACCCCAAGCCCCAACTTGGAGGATCATGGGACTTATTAAGTAGGTCCTTTTCCCCTTTGACTTGCGGCTCCGGGGTGTTAAGCGAAGAAGGCCTCACTTCAAGTGCTCGGGGCCACAGTTTCGAACTACACCCCGGACCAGATCGGGGTTTAGGGCTAAGGTTTAGGGGTTTAGGGGTTCAGGGGTTTAGGGTTTAGGGGTTTAGGGGTTTAGGGTTTAGGGGTTTGGGGTTTTCGGGTTTCGGGTTTAGGGGTTTAGGGTTTAGGGTTGAGCGAGTTTAGAGGTCATGAGATGGTTTAAAGGGTCGAGGGTTTAGGGGCTGCTACAAGTTATGTAGCATGGTGCGCTCTTATGGTTCTTCCAGCATTAACAGCAGTTTGTGGACTTGAGGTATCAGGGAGCTGAGCATGCAGTATGTTGGTAAGGTAAAAGTAGCGTAACCTCGGCAAGGTTAGTTCTATAATGGTTACATTCCCACTTCTGACCTACCTACTCAGGAGACAGTGTTCATCCCCCATGGTCTTTGCAATCTCTGGTTTCTTCACGGTCCAGATAACGGTAAGGTTTTGTGCCGAGCAGTCAACAAAGCAGTGAATTACGAAAGTGGGATTATTTCACTGCTATTTCCCTGCTCCGTTTCAGTTTGCAGTGCAGGAGTTTCGGGTTTAGGACTTTGGGGCTTTTATGGTTTCCTGCCTCGGGGCCTTGGGCTTTGGGTTTAGGGCTCTTAGCGTTTCAGGGTCTAGGCGTTCATGCCCAAACCCTGAACCCGAATTGCAAATCAACAGCAATGACAGGATGCCTAGCTAACCCCCCCCCGCCCTCGAAAAGCACCCTTGAACGATGAACTTTAAACGCATCAAAACACCATAAGACGCCCATAAGCACAATAGAGCACGATTTCGGCTTCATGTAAGCGGTCAACAACCATGAAGGCCTCTGTACAAAGTTGTATGCATTGTAAAAAGCGATCGTATGAAATGTCAACAAAAAAAGAGACAAACAAGGCCAAACAGATTCCTTATAGAAGCCCTTAAAGGCTTAAAGGAACCCTTGAAGGACCCCCTTATAGAAACCCTTGCTTCTCCCAGCAGCAGTGCTGAGGTACCTGGGACTCTGCTCGGGCCCCGCAAAGCTCAGGAAGGGAGACAGACACCGTTTCCGAGGTTTCGGGTTTAGAGCTTGCATTAGGGTTCTATAAGATTTCTGGGTTGGCAGTTTAGAGCTGAAGGGTTTTAGGGTTTAGGGGGCGTGAGGGTTTCAACTGAATGCTCTTGCATGGGTTTGTATGAGGTAATGGGTCTGGGTTGTCTCTTTCAAGTTTCAGGCTTAGGGCGTTGATGTAGTTTGTATTGGTTTGCTACTTTTGGCTTCTTGATACGTCCCATATTCTAAGTGATAAGGCCGACCGCAAGGCCTTGGGAAAGTCCGTAAAAAGGTAGGCAGTCTACCCTAGACCCTAAACCCCACAGATTCCTTGACCGATCCCTTATAGAAGCCCTTAGGGGAACCCTTAAAGGATCCCTCACAGAAACCCTTAAAGGGACCCTTAAAGGATCCCTTCTATATAGAAGCCCTTAGAGGAATCCCTTAAAGGATCCCTTATAGAAACCCTCAGAGGAATCCCTTAAAGGATCCCTTATAGAAACCCTTAAAGAAACCCTAAAAGGATCCCTCATAGAAGCCCTTAGAGGAATCCCTTAAAGGATCCCTTATAGAAACCCTTACTTGGAAGGGCAGGACTTAGTAAGTAGGTTATAAGTAAAATTATAAGTACCCAAAATGGAGTTACCCGAATTATAACCCTACTTATAACCTACTTACTAAGCCCCCTGCCCTTCCAAGTAAACCCTAAAGCCTAAACCCCATAGGTCCCTTTAAGGAACCCTATAGATCCCTTTAAGGAGCCCTTTAAGAACCCTTACTAAGCCCCCTGCCCTTCCAAGTAAAGGATTATCGGAAAACCTATGCCGAGGCCCAGGACCAGCTCGACGATCTGCTCCTCCAGCTCGCCGCCCGTCGCGGCGAGGACGCTGCAGTGGTTTTCAGGATTGTTGGGGATTTTTAGGGATTTTTGAGGATTTTCAGGGATTTTAAGGGATTTTAGGGATTTTAGGGATTTTAGGGTTTAGGGTTTAGGGAGGGTGTGGGGAGGGTTTAGGGAGGGTGTAGGGAGGGTTTGGGGTAACGTTTAGAGTTTCTAGCGGTTTTAGGGTTTAGCGGGGGGTATAGGCTTGTCAGGGTTTTATGTTTATTTTTTTAGGTTTTTAAGGTTTTAAGCTTTTGGGGTTTAACGGTTTGCAATTTTCTGTGTTTTGGGTTCAGGGCTGTGGGTTTAGATCCCTGTTCCCCCCTGGTAGCTGGGTGCACCGTTGCTTTCGAAAACCGAAGTGCCCCCGACCTCTGACAGGGTTCGGTGCTTAGAGTTTAGGGTTTAGAGTTTTTTGATTTACGGGCTCGGGTATCAGGTTTATCCTTTAGGGTTCCAGGGTTTGGGGTTTTAGGGCTGTCGGACCAAATTTGCTGGTGTTGTGGCGATCCACTAGTCAGCAGGGTCTTTGTTAGGGTTGAGGGTTTTGGCTCGACCTCGGTTGCACATGCGCTCGATTAGGTGCTATATCCTCCGTGTTAGCTCACTTTCTTCTATTGACACTTCATCGTTTTTGTTCCAGCCGATTCAGTTGCCGTTAGCACCTTGCACTAGCATCAGAAGTTATCATCATGTGGCACGGCTGTTGTTATCTGTTTCTTTGGAATCTTCTCTACGCTTCCCTGGAACCTGATACCCTCGAAACCACACTCTGCAACTTCGAGGTATGCTTCATCTTCTGTGCGGTCTTTACGGAATCATGACCTGCACCACCCCGGTGTCCCCAACTGAAGCGTCAGCAGTATTCTCAACCCTAAAACGCCCTAAAACCTGAACCGGGAAGCCTGGTTTCCAAGCGGACAGTATACCCCAAACCCTAGACCCCAAACCCCCGAACCCCTAAACCCCAAACCCTAAAAGCCTAACCGCCTGAACTCTAAACCGCTACACGCTGTATGCTAAGATCGGAAATCTGCGAATTCCCGTTTATAGGAGCTCAAAGAGGCCATGCAGGAGGCACCGATGTCTTCGCAGCTTCGGAAAGGGTCTAGATTTTAGGGTTTTAGGGCTTTAGGGCTCTAGGGTTTTATTGTGCAGTTTAAGGTTTTTGGGGTGTAGGATTAAGGCTTTTCGGGTTCTGGGGGGGGGGTGTTAACGATCGGTTCATCTTTGCCAGCACGATCTCGTTTACGTGCGTTTTCGACGCCTGGTTCAGTGAGCCGTTTGGGAACCAATCCTCGGGTAGAGGGGCTTTCATGATTAGAACAAGGCGTTGGGGTTTACTATTAGTAGTTTATGAAGGAGCCCCACGGAATAATATATTTTGTGGTTGTTGAGGCTTCTATACTAGTCGTGATCATACAGTCCCCACACGGGGGTCAAGTTTAGTGTCAAGCATCTTAGGGTTTTTGGGACGCTTCAGTCGAAGGCAATCCATTGTCCATGTGGGTGGTT